AAGAGAGTCTCTATTAAAACCGTGCAGCTACCCTGTTGAAATGAACTGGAGTTTTTGAGATCAGTTTAAATTCACATGGTTTTTCTCAGTGTGTCTGTCCTTTCGGGACACCTTTCATTCCAGTTCTAAGCTGTATTGGTCAAGGGGGGGGGCTATATAGGCTTTAAAAATCATTGCATGTTTCAGCAAATTGGTGCTCCAGCTTCTGATTTTTCTGGGTCTTTCATCATATCGAAAAAAAAACATTTTCTTTCTTCTGTAGGGTTTTTTGTCCTTTTGTAGATAATTGTTTACTGCTGTTATAAACAGTCTTTAGTTAATTTTATTTGTTTATCACATTTGTATTACATCTTTATGTATTTCAAAGTAGCATGGCACTAGATAAATGTTACAGATAGAAAGGAAAAAAACCACAGTTCAGACTGCAGTGTACCCTGCAGCCCTAAACCCATGATCTTGACAAACCCCATAGATGCGATTTCCTCTGACACAGGTGAGCACACATGCTAAAACAATCTTTAAAATCATGACTGGAATCGATTCAAAATAAATTACCGTACCCACTTGTGGGTGTTTTTTAAAAACTCACTTTCTGACAACAAAAAATTACGCTTAGCTGTACCTTGTGTAGGTGGATATTTTAAAAGTCAATTTCAAACATGCTAAACCCAACGCAAAAACCGGAGTATTATGAGGTACCCGAGCCCTGAGATTAGGTCTAGCCGCACAAATTCACAATTTCTGTGTATATTATGCAAACAGTATTCAGCCAACGAATGTGCTGATTATCTTGTTGTTTAGCAAGGATATTGTTGCCTGCAGCTGTGTTGAACTCAGACTTTGCAGTTCAAGTGACACAACTAGACAAATGTATGCACACACAGCAGGAGAATAAATCCCCTCTCACTGCCAAATATACATGCTGAAAGGGACAGGAGCCTCTGAAATGCACCTAGGGTTTGACAGGGCTGAGCCCAGGAAAGAGTTCTGAATCTCCAAACTGAATGGAGCTCATGACTCTTCTGCACAAGAATTCTGCTTACCCCAGGAGTTCTTCATTTGAGCTGTTTAATCTGTTTAACACAACTGGGAGAGAGGACTCCTTGCTGATTTACCACAAATCATGCAGAGATCTGCTGGTTGATTCTGGTCCACCACCTGCCCGCCCCAGTCCTTGCCTTCTCTCGTGTTTCAAGATGCTTACTTCTTTCGCTCCCTCCTCCACTGTCACCAACAAACAAACAAGCCACCCCCACAAAGGCAACTCCTCCAAACAGCTACCCACTGAAGTCTGTCGAGAGAAAGGAGGCAACGGCAGCAACTTAGCCATTTTAAGACAGTCAGAGCTTATCGGAGATACGATCAGTGAAATCCTGTCCTTTCAGTCTCTTTCCCAAAACATGTTCCTTTCATAGATTCAGAGGTGCTTCCTACCAAACATGTCAGCTCCAGAGAGAGAAATAGAGGGGTGCGGGGGGGGGAGGTCTGTTGGTACCCGACAGAAGGCTCAAGATTGTTCAGGGGTTCCAGTTGGCTTCGTGTCCTTCCTTCAGGTCTTTCTGACACTTGGATGATGGACGAAGAAATTTTGCTTCTCTTGGAGGAGAAACATAGGTGGAAATGGAGAGGGTGTGTGTGAGAGTGGTGTTAGTAAAGGAGCTGGGAATTTTGTGTATGGCAGCAAAAGCCTCCCTCTCTCCCTGCCCAACCACTACAATTCTTCCATCAATGTGGTTTGAACCAGAGTATGCAACCAAGCAAGGTCAGTCAGTGCCAAACAGTGGGAGAAAAATATTTTTTATCACCCACCAACAAATAATACAGGTTACCAATAGTGTCACACAGGAGAGCACTTCACACATTGCACCACAGGTGAGGAACCTAGGGCCCTGCAGATCATGTTATTCCTTGCTAAGGGCCATGTGGGCAGGAGCTGATGGGAACTGTATGTCCATTCTCTCCCCCCCCCCCAGATCTGCCTGATACAATTTCTATATAGAAGGTACGGTACTTCCATTAAGAAATCAACAACAGTTGACTCAGCTGACAGTGGGCAGCACAACCATGTCCTACACTGAGATTTTTCTGAATAGAGAAACCAGATGCCTGATGTGGTGAAAGTCCATGTGTCCCAACTTTTTCACAAGTGATTTTATACAATAGGGGTGGTAGCATAGCCAGTTGCATGGAATCCTGGGATTTGTAGTCCAACAACCACTCAGGGGGGCATAATTCTCCCATGCTTAACTACACTGAAATAGCAAATGTACTCTTCATTTCTTCACTAGCCCAGTGCCCTCCAAATGTTTTGAACTACAACCTTCATAAATCGAAACTAACCTGGCCAAGGATCAGGACAGTGATTCCTAAACCTGCCCCCCCCAGATGTTCTTGCACTCCAACTCCCAGAAATCCCGGCCAACACAGATTCTGGCAGTTTTAGCCCAAGAATACCTGGGTACTCAGTGTTGGGAACCACTGGATCAAGGTACTGTATGTGAAAGTTAGATTTCCAAAATAGCTGGAGAGCACCAGGTTGGGGAAGTCCACCTTACATATAAGAGAAATTATAGCATTGGATTTAAGACTGGAGAGAGCAGGGTTCAAATCCTACCCCCCCCCTCAACTGCTATGTTCACTAGGGTGATCTTGAGCAGAGCTTGAAAACTTTATAACTCCCAACATCTCACAGCCAACGACATCTGGGAGTTGCCGCTCAAAATAAAAGGATGCGTTGCTCTGTAGCATAACCAGACAAACCGCAAAGTCATGTGTCTGATTGCAACAGAAAGGGTCACTTCAATGGGAGCAGATCTCCCTTCATGTGACCCTTCTGCCTGCTGGGGAATTGTATCAGCCTAGCCCCCCCCCCCAAAAAAGTAAAAGCACAGATTGGGGTCGGGCCGGAGCACATGTCCTCACGTGTTGTTTGAAGGCTGAGAAATAGATTGCCCTGAACCACTCCACAAGGGGCCCAACAATGCCATCTATTTTCCCATGCGCTCACACCCCCAGTCTTGCCCAGCCCACTCAGCTCAGGAGGTTTCTGTGAGGAAAAAAAAGAGTGAGAGGCCCACAAATGCCATCTTGAGCCACTTTGAGAAAAGCTGAGGTTAAAACCATACCGCTGGCGGTTCAATCCTTCTTGCTCTGCAGAGCAGGCCTCTCTTGTTACCTCTGTTTTGAGAACAGTGTGGCAGAGACATCATTTGAACTTCTCGTTGTTCCAAAGCCCAGTCTCACAAAAACAGCCCAGTTTATCCAGCTCACCATTTCACGCACAGGACAGAAGGCAAGCCTAGGGAGCCATGACTTGCCCAGGACCAGGGCTTGAAAGCCCTGACTTGCCATGGGCAAACATTTTAGGAATAGTTGTAAGTAGTCACCCTCCCACACAACCTACAAGTCCAGTCCTGAAGCAGACACTCTTCAGGCAGCCCAGTGGTCTAATCTTGAGATTACGAGCGCAAGTCCAATCCTGAAGCAGACACTCTTCAGGCAGCCCGAATCCATCTTGGAGCCCTTGAGGAATCAGGTCTGAAGGCACACATATTTGCAAAGACTTTTCAAGATGTATATGTAGAATGGGGGAGGGGAGAGAAAGGAAAGGAAAGGTTGCTAATCCAGGGATTCAACTTTAGGGGATACAAGACAGAGGGTTGCAAAGAGCTTCTCCTGTGCTTTCATCTTAGGGAGGCCTCCTCACCTGGATTAACAGGCACAGGCCTGTTATGAAGGTCATCCTTTCACCAGGGGAAGCTCTCTTTAACTATCTTGATCCAGAAAGAATTAGGAAAAGACAGTGGTGGTTCAGAATTACACAAATGGAAGAGTTAGGTGACACCTTTATCGAACCACTAAAAAAAAAACCTACACAAAAAGTTTGCAATTTGTGTGATTTTTCCAGCCTAGCAGGCGGGGTATAAATCAAATAAATAAATAAATAAATAATAAATAAGTAGTTCAGTAAAGGAATCACCTAACTCTTGCACTCACTTTCTTAGAATCTTAGGCCTGCAAAACTGGAAGGGATCCTTATGGATCACGGAGTCCAGCCCTTGTCAGGGAGGCACAGCGGGGAATCAAACTCTCAGCTCCACAAATGAGACTGAAACCACCTACAGTATTCAGCAGTTATAACCATGGAGATGGGGAGAAGCTGACCTTCGTGAAATTCTCCCTTTTGATGAAAATCTTTAACAAACACAGCAGCCCACTCTGGGTGGGCATTTCATAAGCCTTAGAGGTAAGCGATCAAAAAGAACTTCCTACATGGTTTGGGGAGCCCATAGAGAACAGGGCTGGGCAATATGGGGCCCTTGAGACCTTGGCAGTCAACAGCCATGAAAGGGGCAGCGCTTCATCCCGCCACTGCTTGAGCTCAAGCCAACTTTGCCTTCAGATGTGGTTAGACTCTCAAGTCCCATCAACCCCCAGCAGCCTAGTCAATAATCAGGAAAATTGGAAGTGTAGTCCAAGGACATCTGGAGGACCACCATTTGGTAGCATCCTCCGAGTGAATTTCCAGGCCACCTGAGAAGAACCCACAACCCATGAGGGGTGAGATGGGCTCAGGCAGGGTGAAGACTGGCATGCCTGCCATTTCAGTGCTTTGTCCCCATATCTCCTCCCCCTGCGCCCATGTTCATGGCCACATGGGCTGTTCTATTGTCCCCATACAGTTTCCCCTCCAGAAGAACCTCTGTCCGTGCGGCAATTCTGTCTCCTCAGAGAAGGGGGTGCCGCCCTGAAATGCTGCTGGGCCGCCTCCTCTTTCAAAGGAACCTGATCTCTACCGAGTTAGGCGTCCAGCCCAAGGAAGGAGATCATGAGAAACAACAGACCCTTTCGGAAGGGACCACCTCCAAGGGACAGCCTTCAAGTTTTCCTGCTAAGGCCCCGACGACGACGACGACGACAGCATCAACATCAAGGAAGGGAGAGGGAGAGAAGGGGAAAAAAATGAAAATCAAAAAAAAAAGAGTGGGACTCGGACTCACGCGTGCCATCAAAGCGGGTTGCTATGGTGTCGAGGAAGGTGTTTTGGGGAGCCAGGAGGCCCCTCATCACCGGCATTTTAGGACTCGCTCCCGGGTCTCGCCATGGTCCGCAGGGGGAGGACGACGGAGGTCTTCCAGGGATCTTCGCGCCGGCGGCCGGGGAGCGGGAAGGCGCCCTCGCTCGGCCCGGGACCGAACGGATCCCCAAGACTGGGGAG